ATCAAAGATGCACAAACATTGATCACCGGCGACATTGATGCAATATTAAAACGAGACACGTTTGCTGGCATTCCTATCAATGCCATTCGTCAAATAGTTACACAAGAGAATTCTGTGGAAGCTATCAAGCACATTGCATTCGATGGCATGGCTATCGCAGGCGTTGATAAGAATACATTAAATTTTGTGAAAAAACTGCCTGAAGGAATCAAAGACATAGAAACATTGTTCAACAGTGATTTAGAAAAAATGTTAAGACAAAATATGTCAGGTAGTATCGATCAACTGTTGGGAATGTTTACTGAGCAATCATTGTTCAGCGGCAAAGAAAAAGAGATGTTCCAAATTATTCGTCGTCGAATACCTATGATACAAGATGTGGTCAACGGCGATGGCAAAGCCGTTCTCTCAAATGCTCTTCAAACTTTCGGTCAACAAATCAATAATTTACCGTTAACCGATTTCCTTGATATTGCTCTACCAGCTGCTATTCAACGTGTCGCTAATCGTGAACAAGAAGCTGTTCGTGATGTTTTCAAATCAACTGTAGATCAACTCAAATCGATCAGTGGAGACTTCAACGAACAAACGTGTCAAGTGATTAACCAGATTTTGCAATCGTCTGACAAGTGGAATACTTTCGAAAGGACGAAAAATCAATTGGACAATAATGTTCGCCTATTATTAGGCCCAGCTATTGAACGTGAGAAAGAATTTAGGAATGCTTATAATAACTTGACTAGCAACCCTCAAGCAATTCGCAACTATCGCCAAGTTCTCAGTAGAACGTTTGGCACGACTCGAGGACGAGGAGCGGATTTGAAAAAACTAATTGAAAGCAATGCGAACTCTGGAGGGTTCTTATTGAAACGTGCGGTGAGTGAATTTGTTAATGAAGTAAGTAGTCAAGAAAGTGGAACAAAAAGTCCAGAAGTGATGAAACTACTCAAAGAACATCTCAACGAAATTTTCATACGACCCATTGCAGAGAAGGCATGCGAACGACAAATGGATCAAATTGATACCGAACTTGTTAACAATTTCACCAATGCAATCACTTATGTGCAGAAACAACGGCAACAAACTCAACATTAAACAAGGCATTTTCGCTCTCTTTTCTTTATTTTTAAATTAAAAAAAAATAGGCAAGAATTGAATATATTTCATCAATAACTCCGTTGATAGTAATCCGAATTGAGGGTGTGGGTGTGTTTGTTCGTTCGGGTGTCATTTATTTTCGCCACATGCTTACATCAGCATCCACGTCCCATACCCCATACGCACACTTACATCCAGAAGAAACACTTTGTTTTGATTTAGCCATTTAAAACCATCAATGGTGACATCATTATTAAAAAAAAACTTGTTGAAGATGTGCCCGCATTAACAGATCAAACTATTTTACCATTGAGAGAATGTTCAATAAGATACAAATTATGCTTGTTTTCTGGAAGTTGATTGTTTTGTTCTTTTTCGATGGTTACTCAATGATATTAGCAATGCAGTCGATATTATACAGTTGTTACTAAAGAAGAAGAAAAACGTTTGACTATGGTGCTCTTTGAAAAGATTTTTGATGCACTTGCATCGCTAGTATGTGTACACGATAGTATTTTGTATTTGTTATTTTGTTTAAATCGTATTCGAACAGATAGAAAAAGATACGAAAGAATGGTGATTTTAATTGTAATAGAAGAGTTTGATTTCGCAATCATGGCTGCTTGAGTCTGATTGCTGGATTTCTACTCCCAAGACTTATCAGGATACGGCTCCAAGTCGTAAAAACCTTTTGAGACGGCATTTGTGTCCTAGTTAGAGGTTGTAGCGCTAAGAAAACTTCTAATAAGATTCAATAGTAGACGAAGAGATTTTTGAAAGTTTCATCTTGTGAAACAATTTGTTAAATATGTTTTCTTTCAAAACTCTGCTTCGGACCTATCTTGGAAAAGTCATTCGCTAATGAAATGCCATATATAACATGATAACTTTGTTTGTATCCATATTTTATTGAAAATAGGCTTGAGACTATTTTCTATATAATAGTTATGATCAATAGTCTTGTCTTCAACATTTGTATGTATAAGAACCGAACACTGTAAGATAAAGCTTTTTTTTAGTTTCTATCTGAACTATTTCAACCATCTATCTGTCTTTTACTCAGTTGTTATTCATCAAATAAGACGATTTGATAAATAGCAGTTATAGTAATGATCCAAATCGTTACAAATAAAACTAAAGCGAAACGAGTAATACATATTCGAGGAATAGATAAATGATAAGCATATTTTGTTTCTCTTAATCTATAACATTGTCTTGTTTGGTGAAGCATTGCCATGTTTAACAGGTAAGTGTCTCTGTTAATAGTTTATTTAAAGAAATAATTAAATATGCTCTTACATTCATAGCAATTGGTAGTACTCTACCACAGGATTATGCTTATTCAATAACTCAACAAGATCATTTAAAATGATGAACGAGAAAAACTTGACATGTCTCGCAGTTATGAACCTAGTCCAACTGATACATCAAAGTTTGTTTTTGAAAACGGAAAAATTCCAAAAAATAAAATGAATGCATATATAATTTTACTACTGTATTGCCTTCGATATTAGAAGATTTTGTTACAACTTATGCTGAAAGTGTTCATAATCAATGGTTTTATGCTACAGTAAATTAA